GGGCCCGTGGTGCTGGGGGGGCTTGTGGTGCTGGGGCCGTGGTGCTGTCCCCTGGCCCCTCAGAGCCCCACCTGCCCTCCCCCAGAGGAACGCCTGCAACATGCTGCGGGACGGCGCGGCCGGGCCGCACTTCATGGCCTCCCCGCAGTGCGTGGGCTACGATCGCGGCGCGGCCGCTGCCCTGACGGCCCAGATGTGCCTGCCCGACCTGCGCGAGATCCGGCGCGCCCTGCAGCTCTGGGTAACCAGCACCCGGGCACGCTCCGTGTACGTCGCCACCGACTCGGAGCCCTACACGGCCGAGCTGCAGCAGCTCTTCCAGGGAAAGGTGAGTCCTGCGAGGGGCTCTGGCCTGTGGCTGCGGGCGGGGACTGCGTGGTGCTGTTCCCAAACACTGACATCTCCAGGTGGATTTGGCTCATAGCAATAAGAACGAAAACCCCTTCCTTTGTTAGGGGTTGAAGAGCATTCTCCTTCAGGGCAGTAAATTTCTCCTTGAAAAAGACTTCTGTTTAAGAAACGGAAATGATTTTCAAGGGTGTTTTGACATTTGTCTGTTCATAAATGAGTTGTAGGGCGACTTCAGACAGAATCCACCCCCCTTCCGTGGTCTGTTCCCGTTTCTAATGTGGGGCCAAGGCATTTGGATGGTGATCCCAGCTGCGTTGCTTTCCTTTCCTGCCTCCCTGCAGGTCAAGGTGGTGAGCCTGCAGCCCGAGGTGCCCCAGGTGGATCTCTACATCCTTGGCCAGTCCGACCATTTCATCGGGAACTGCGTCTCCTCGTTCACCGCCTTCGTCAAGCGGGAGCGTGACGTGCATGGAAAGCCCTCCTCCTTCTTTGGCATGGACCACCCACCACGGCTGCGGGATGAGTTCTGACCAAGGGGGGAGCAGGCTCCCTGGTTCTCAGCCTCCCAGCGTGGTCCCTGGCTGAGGGACTGCTCAGTGCTGCCGGTGCTCTCCTGCTGCAGCAGCCCCATCCTCTGCCCCACAGCCCCTTCTCTCTGACTTCTGGGTTTCCAACGTGAGGTCAGGCAGAAAAGAATGTTTAATCATGTTTATAGGAAGCTATGAACTCAATCTAGATTTTAAGCTGTAGTTCATGTAGGTCCATCCTCACGGGTGGTTCACAGCAATCCCCGTGGAGCAGCTGCTCAATTCCCCCTTCTCTGTTATTTTCCGTTAAATCTTAGTAATTATTTTTCCCAGAGATCTTCATGTCCAAAACTGACCAGAAGTTCTTTTTAAGTGCAAAGTATTATCAGGAACATCACATTCTCTAGAAAGGGAGTGCCGGGTAAGGCCTGGACTTTGGAAGCTCTGGGTTTTGCCCAGTACTGTTGTTTTTCTGGACCCACATCACTCAGTGCCTCGGTGCCCCTGGCAGGAGATCTCCCACCTGCTCTGGGGCACCTGGGGTTTTTGTCTGTACTTTATAAGATAACCCCCCTGGCAGCAGAGCCCCCCTTTGGGGGGTGGTTCCTCAGGGAGATACTGGTGGGAAGTGTCCACTGATGGTGAGACAGCGACCCAAAAACCTTCCTTTAGTCCTGGGAACGCAGATAATCTCAATCTGCTGCCTCTGAACTTTTCCATTGCCTTTGGGTGCTCCTGTGGCTTTATTTTATGTCCAAAGACAGCAAGACCTTGCTGTTCCTCTCAGAAGGTGCCGTTGGGTGCCAGGGCTGGCTGCAGGCTGAGCAGGGCTGCTCAGAGTGTTTACATTGAACTCTGAATGTTTCTTTGTATTCCTGGTGGTGGGTTTTTTCCTCCTTGGAAATGTCCCTGAGTGTTGAATCAGTTTGGAGGAGCAAGGGAGTGAGCAAGAGAGGGCTGAATGTGAAGGTACCCTCTGTATCAGGGCGCCAAAGGCTCCTCTCTTGTTTCCTTAGTGCTGCTGACAGAAATTCTTGGGATTTGGTGGTTTTGTGGCCTGTCCATCCCACGGGAGCTGGTGGCTCCTCGGGATTCCTGCATCTCTTTGTTGGGGGGGTCCTGCCTCCCTGCAGAGCAGGAGCAGCTGCTCCAGGTACCACCAGGAGCACCGTGTGTGAAGACAAGATGTTTGGGATGGTAGCTATTCGGGTTTTTTTTTTAAAAAAGGTATTTTTGGTAATAACTTTTTGGTAATAATAAAGCCTTGATTTTGTATTCACTCGTCTCGCACCGCAGCTCCTTCCTCTCTTGCAGCGTTCCCGGCTCAGCCCCCCCGGGATGCTGGAGCAGCAGCACAACCTTCTCGGGCCGTTCCTGGGTTCCTGTTGGGGCCGAACCGGGCCCTTCCGGGCC